GATTGCGTTTAAACCATCTCGATGGACCCCCCACCCCACCCTCTCACTCTCTCTCGCTCGCTCTCATTCGCTCAAGCACGCAGGTGCTTTTTTCCCTCTTATAAAATATCGATGAACCACGGATAAGATATGAAACTGAACGGAGCAGCTACTACTTTTTTTCCCTCTTATAAAATATCGATGAACCACGGATAAGATATGAAACTGAACGGAGCAGCTACTACGCTTGATCATTGGAGAAGATCGGATATGAAACTGATGGAAGCAGATACTGCACTTGATCRTGTGTGTGTGTGTGGGTGGGGGGGGAGGAGAGAGGGAGGGGGTGCATAGTTGGGTTCTCTCTCTCTCTCTCCCCCTCTCTCTCCCTCCCGTGTATGCGCACGACCTCGCGTGCTTCTTTTTTCTTTTGTACAATAGAAAGGTCTCAATGGACCGCGGATGAGATACGAAACCGGACGGAGCAGATAATACGCTCGATCGTGCGGGGAGGGAGGATCGAATATGAAACTGATCGAAGAAGATACTGCACTTGATCGTGGGGGGGAGGAGGCACCAAGTTCGACTCTCTCTCTCTCTCTCTCACACACACACACACACACACACACGCGCGCGCGCGCGCGCGGACACGTACACACACTCTCTCTCTCATAGTTCCAAGACCACAAAATGAAAGCAACAGACGCGAATAACAAACTCACCGTCAGTCATCAAGGTGCGGTCGTTTGAAAGCCTTGCCGCTGCACAGCTCAGGCCTCAGCGTCCAACATTCAGAATGTAGAGATGGTGTGTCCTGGGTGAGTGTGTGTGTGTTTGTTTGTGTGTGTGCGAGTATGCGTATGTGTGAGTGTTGTTATGTTCGCTATACAGAACTCACATCATGACTCAGCCAGACTGTTTCGTCGGACTTCCACCGACTCATCAGGAGGTTGAACCCCAACAGTCCGCCCAAGATGAACTGTACGGATGGCCAAGGACTCGCCACTTTCTCGTGTGCGTGTGCCGGTGCGCGTGTGGAAGTCGTAGTCGTGCAGAGCAGAGTAGAAGTCAGTCGAGAAGCTGTGTGCCGGTGCGCGTGTGGAAGTCGTAGTGGTGCATAGCAGCGTAGAAGTCAGTCGAGTAGCTTGAGTGTGAAAAACAGGTGTGTCGAAAATAGGCGTCGACTCTAGAGGTGTAGCGTAGCTCAGTTGAGTAGCTTTGTCGAACAGGCGTCGACTCTAACTCGCCTTCCTGTATACCTGCCCTCAAGTCCGCTGTGCGTGTGCCCCAGAAAGTAGTCTCTATACGTTGTTGCGGTGCTGGACCGGTAGCGGCGCTAAACTGGTAGCGCGTCGCGCGGTACCGGGGTACCGCGTGCAGTAGGGCCGGTAACACGCTTTGGTACCACCGCTGGTGCGTGGGCCCAGTACAGGCCCTGGCGCGGAGCCGCACGCGATGGTTCAACTTCTAAGAGCAAACGATCAGCAGACGATCGGGACCGTCGCGGACTGTAAAATCGCAGGGGCCCGATCGTCTGAATGTCACAGGCCGAAAATTAGTGATAGTTATATATGTAGGGATTTCTGATTTGTTCTTCTGTTGTTAAGTTTGCTTTTGACATAATAAAAAGCAACTTTCTGATAACAGGGCTCTTTAACTTGAGCAAAACTTGAGGTTGTTGCCTGGCTGTTATTTGTCAGTGTGTCAGTGAGTGCACACACTGAAATGCATCTTCACAATGTAAGAGACGTATGATCTTGACGTTCTCGAACTCATAGCTCCCTGCGAGTGGACCTCATACTGCTATGTAGGCGTCGGCAATGATGAATGACTCATCTGACTGATGTGGTTGACAATGTGCAGCGCATCCCCTCTCGACGGACCATAAGCCCAGCAAGCTGGAGGAACAGAAGCGTATTAAGGATGCTGGCGGTGTCATCATGTGGGCGGGTGAGTCTCTGGCAGAGGTTCTGACGAAATCTCCCAAGACTATCTGTGTCTTCTGAATGCTGTTGATCGGATGAGATGAACCTATTGCATCCAAGGATGCTGAAACCTGTATTGAGTGTTCTTTGTTTGAATTCAACTGTGGGCATTAGCCTACAAAAAAAACATTCTACCGGTGCTTCGAAAATTCCAGCTGAGGAAAAAAACGGCCTTGGCACACCCCTGAACTCCAGGCAAGGAAAAAAAGAAAAGCCTGCTCGTCATGGCTTTGCAGTCCGGGACGCCTGCCCTGCCCTGCACTGGTCCTCGCTCCGGACGGGCTGCGCTCCTGGCCCGTGCGCGGTACATACTGCACAGTCAATTCGCGGCCATTTGATTTTTGAAGAGGCCACAATGTGTGAGAAAGCGTTCCTGCTATGGATGTGAGTCAAAAGGTTCGTTTCGAAGAATCAAAAGTGTTTATCATGTGTTTCTCTTTGAGGTGTCTCCTGAGCTTCCTCAGCTCTTGTTCACTATCAGTGTGGGATGGACGTTCCACTGGGACCTTTGAGTTCTGCCAAGGCAGCGAAAGAGGGTTGCCGTTGGATTAAGTTTTTTTTCTTGTTCTGGCAAAGTGGTGGGAAGTCTTCTCTTGTATGTGATGGGCTGGAGGCCAAACACATCCAGCAGGTGTTGTAGTCTATGGGAGTGGACGTGCAATGCTTTTAAGGGGTGCGCTTGGATTATTTGCAGTGGTCGAAGCGCAATTAACGGTGGTTCAGCACACGTGCATGGCCACGATTTGTCCCTACACCAAACTCGGTACACAAGGCAATGAGATCGAAACAGCCTGAGAACTTGGAACTCGTTTATTATAGAAGCTCGAAAATTATTGTACAGCAGAAGGCTATGGCAGCCTACGAACTTCACATCAGGTACGGTCCTCTCTCTCTCTCTCTCCCCGAGATCACTTCCCTCTCTGGAGGCCGTGGACCTTTCTACCTCTCACATTCAGCCCTCGGCCTTCTTCTCCTTCAACCCTAAGGTCCTATCTATGGTGCCCAGCGCCATAGACTACCCTACTGTGCCCGACCAAGTCAAACCCGAAGTGGCTGTAGCAACCAGCGGCACTGTTGCAACAGTTTGAACAAACAAGTATTCCCTTTTGGCACTGAAGTGGCTTTTGTACGTGTTCGAGTTGACAGTCTTGAGCTCCTTTGGTCCCTCCCCTGTTGGCTGCAATTGTTTCTCGGATCCGGATGTTTCTGGATTGTCCTTGGACATTGCTGCTATTTTTGTTTGGGAGTGACTGGACTTTCCTACCGACCAACTGGACCCTACGGTCGTGTTTTGGCCTCAGGGCCTTCCGTTTGGTCTTCGGTAGAATGAGACCCCGGACCTTGGACCTGGCTGAAGGCTTGAAGTCCTTTCGATTGGTTCGAGGTGTTAACCTCACACAGCATTGCAACTGCCAAGCACATCCTTCAGCAGATGGTATGGAGGATGGCACTGCGACGTCTCCAAGGGGATCATTTAGTTTGGTGACTTTGCCATTTCCACGAGGGTGGAGGCAGTGAGCCTCACGGCATAGAAACATGCCTTATTACTGCATATGTGCTGACCTGTGTATGTGTTGTTTGGGAGAGCTTTTGTGTATTTGAGGAAGCGAGCGATCCCAATGGGAAGTCTTGGTCTATTTGAGGGTACAAGTTCTATACCCTACCGTCTTCACTTGAACACAATGCCTGGTCATTATTGAAGAAAGGGACAACTTCCAGTCAAGATGGAGTGATAATGACCGGGCATTCGATTCGGGTCAAGACGGTAGCGAGTGCAGATCTGTCGGTCGTCAAGGTACAAGGTCATGTGAGACAGCAGCACATCGGGGATGCTCTGTTGATTAGCCATTTGTGGTGTGCGGTTAATGACAAAGTTCAGTGCTTGGGAACATAATAGTTCTGTGTTAGCATTCTATATACATAGCCAAGTGCATGAATAATGTCTAATGAAAAGAAGTCAACAGCCAGTTACCTTTTGAATGGTGCAGGTTGTCAATGATGTGCCTCAAATCGCACATGGTGTTGTATGTGAACTTCTGTGTCACTCTGAACGTGCTGTTCAATTCTCACTCATGCGAATGCTTGCTCAATCACCTTGTTTCTCCCTCTGAATCACTTTGTTTCTCCCTTTCAATGGCCTTGTTTCTCCCTTTGAAAGCGGAATACGCGGTGAGCCACTGCAACTGGTGCAAAGCCTTTGCTTTAGTTGTTGTGGCTAACCTTTGCAGGTTGCTGACCATCAAGATATGTGTATCGAGATTGGCTTGTGGATTCCTTACGTTGCGACGCTGTGTGCCTTAATATGGCTGAAAAGAGCCGCTCAATTATATGCCTACTTAAATGCAGGACAAATTTGGTTTCAACCAGGTGGATGCTGTCAGAGTCCTGTGTTTCTGTACTTGTGGGGTCTGCTCTGAATATCAAATCAGCTTTCTGTGGCTAAGCATTTTGGGATTGTTCGCTTTCACACGGTGTTTGAAGTTGTCCGTACTTTTGGGATTTTGTTATTTTTCACCACTTTTAACGTGCTGAGTGGGCTTATTGCAGGTACATGGAGAGTTGGCGGAGTGCTGGCTGTAACCCGTGCTTTTGGTGACAAGATGCTTAAGCCGTATGTGTCTGCAGAGCCGGAGATTGTGGTATGTATCTGGAGTTGGATGCATGCTTGCTTTATTTTCATTTTTTTTTTTTCATGTTTCAATTCACAGATGTTTATTCGGATTATTCCACTTTTTTGTCCATTTCTAAGGAACAGTTGTTTATTTCAGTGCTGCTCCCCTGTTCGACCAGGGAGCCCTCCTCCATGCTGAACCCTCCCGGTCGATTCGGCTGACGGACGGTCCAGCAGGATCCTAATCGGCCCCAGAGCATTCTGGCTGGTGGGGGCTCCCAGTCAGGAAGTGGCTGGGCGGCCTCCTGCAGCCTTGCGGAGGTCGCCCGCGCTTAGAGAAAAAACAGGACCGGGGCCTCGATATGAACAAAACTCAGGCAGCCGTTCTGGGATCTTAAGAGTTCGCTGGCCAAGAATGGCCGGATTTTGAAGTATCTTAGGGCGTTAGGCGGGAGTTGGAAAATGTTCTGTAGCCTGCTGCCTGGCGACCCCTCTCAACCTCACTTCGACCTTCCCCTTTGTGTGTGGTCCTGTTGGCATTCACTTTTCTGCTGCATGCAATGCACTGCTGCTGCTGCATGTGCGGCGCTGCTCCCAGCCAAGCTGCGACGTTGCCCATACAGATTGAGGTCACTTATGTTGTGTGTCGTGAATTTCTTGCCTACAGATTGAGGTTGTTGCCATTTGTTGCTTTTGTCCTGTATGTGCATTGACACTTGCACGACTCCGTGGGGTGCTTGCTTATGGTGGATTTTGCAGGACGAGATTGTGTATCCATCCGATGAGTTTCTTGTCCTTGCAAGCGATGGCCTCTGGGATGTTGTCAGTAACGACGTAAGTAGCTAGTTCAATAAGTTTTTTTTACTGACGGTCCACTTTATCGGCTTGGATTTCATCAGATGAATTATTATAAATTTATGGTGGATGAGCATATTGCTCATGGGAGGGGAAATAACCATTAGCGTGGGCCTGGCACTGAAGCTGTTCCAACCTTCTTGCCTATATACGATTTACTTTGTCGAGTCTCCTCATTGCCCGTCAATTCTGTTGTCATCACGGTGGACAAGTAAACTGTTGTTCCGACTGGAAACAATGATTGGCATGGCCTGGAAACGATAAGTCGGTCATTGGGAATGTCTTTTGGCTGTCGGCCTCTGGAATTAAGAACGCTGATTGGAACCGCAGTCATGATCTGGATTTATGGAATTCCATCCAGACTGTTTGGATGTCTTGGTGTGGTTTCCTGGGTTCGGACGCTAACGTTTCAAAAAAAGAAAGTCCGCCGTCTGGAATTATGCAACATTGCAATACGGACAGATCTTGGCTGAGGGTCACAGCTCGAGAACTGCTTGGTAGGCTGCGTGGATGCTCGGCTGGGCAGGTTCACCAATCAAGCTTCTGGAGGAGAGGGGGGTGGGGTTGAACCAGGAAAGGTGCCTGGCAACCTTGTGGAGGTCGTGCACATGGCCAGGCAGTGTTCGAGAAATTCTTCAGGGGCTGGTAGGCCCCTGTTTTGTGTTTCAGCGATTGACAAATCTCCGCGGTCAGTGGAGCAGGCAGGGAAGTAGCCTCGGCAGTTTTTCTGGGACATTCGAATCCCGGTACCCAGAAAAACTCCCGTGGCGAGTCTGTTCCTGTTTGCCCTGCGATGGTTGTCGTCGTCGCCATTGACACGTCCTGGTCATGGTTATTCTTCAGTCATTCTCGCCTATTGTGGTCTCCGCTTCTGCACCAATAGCAAGGGAGATTGCCGTTCTTCTTCTTCATCTCTTCCTCCTCATCCTTGTTCTCCTCACTCTTATTCCTCGTGTTACGTCGTCCTCCATTTTATGTTTTTCTTCGCTGTCTTGCTACCAAGATAGAGAGAGCCGGAATCTACCTCCTCCCTTGGCTACCTTCTCCTCCCCCCAATGGCCACCACCTCAACCGGTTGGCGTCCTGCTCCATATTTCCTTCCCCACATCAAGATGTTACCTCTCCAATTGGAATCTTCTTCCTCCCCATTTCGCTTTACCCCATCTCCATCTTCCTTCTACCTGTATCTTTCCCCACCTCCATCTCCCCCTATCTACCTCTCTCAACATCTACCTCTCGCCATCTCCTTCCGTTAAACCCTCACTTTTCACTTCCCCCTCTCCCTCCTAACCCTTCCAGGCAGTAAAGAGGATCCGTCGGATTCCAGAGACAGACAAGAGCATTCCTCTGGATAAGAAACATGGAGGTTTCTGGTCCCCTACTGCCATGTCCTCTGCTTCATGTCTCCACTCACTTTTCACTCCTCCTTCCCCCTGTTAAATTCCTGAGACAGACAAGAGCCTTCCTCTGGATAAGAAACATAGA